AATGATACCACCTACTTTACTTATTTTCTTCCTATAAGGTTTAAGAACATAAGCAGCTTTAGGATCTAAATATTAACAAGTAAACAAGTTAACAATTAACAAGTTTGAGAATCCTTTTGCATATTAACAAGTAAACAAGTTTGATTACAAATGTACAGAGTAATATGTTACTGCAATCTCAGAAATGAAATTCCAACTTTTGAGGATTCAGAATATACGAGATGAGGATCATCTTTGATTAATATTTCTTTAGTTTTGAGAATCATTTTGTCACAAAATCAAGTGACTTTTGACAAAAAGCGAACTCTGAAATACATGTCAAAAATGTTTCCTTAACTCGAAACCTAGTGCATAATGCACTGGTGCAATGCTTAGAGCAATAGTAGTGCATTGTGAGAGAAAGTTAACTAGAATGACGAAACTATAATAAAGACTAGACAATCGAAAATAAAGTGCCGAATCAAACTGTCCGGCGGTTAAGGAATTGACCTCGTACCAGAAAGATAAGGGGTTTATATCCCGGTTCGGGCATGGGTGTAATTTATCTCTCTGTTCTATCTGCCCTTGTTATGTTGTGCCATACATACGGGGCCCACATTCAAGTGATTATTTGAAAAGTTAGATACATTAGGCACTACGAGATTTTTTCTTTAAAAAAAAAATAAAATGTCGAATTTTTTTAAAATTTGTACGAAATTCGTTTTCTTGGAGAAATGACGATAGTTATTTCGTCTCTTAGACAAAATTTGCTCGGAGCATATACCAGGAAGCGATTTCATCAAAAACGAAGAGAGTATCGTGATATTTGAGTATCCATTTTTTGTAGTTTATCTACATTACTAAATCTTTTCGAAAAATGGATTTATTTCCCATTTCAAAATTAAGGTACATTGAATTGACAAGGAATAAAACTTTTAAAAAAGGTTTAAGGAGTAATTTAAGTTGCTTCAATTTCCGAACCACGGGAATAAGTTGTGACGTTTTCAGTGACGTGAAACTAGGTTTTAATATGATAACGATAGTGCACTAAGCTCTTAAAAGTATCGATAATTGCGTATGTGTGGGAGTTTTCGGCAGATATTCACGAAGACTCTACTCAGAATCTTCTATGCGAAGAATTTGCTGAGAGAAAAGCGAATATGTTGAAAGTGATGATGTTGAAAGCTTTTACTACTGTAACCATAACTCTTTCTACTTTATATAAGGAGGAGTCCATAACGGAAAATGTTAAAACCGGAAAATATTAGAATGATTTATTGCTAACTAGAAATCACACTCAGAAGCAATTGCTATTCTGTTGCATTTGATTTTTTAACGAAGCATGGATATTTTCACGTCACTTCACGTCATTTTCTCGCGCTAAGTAATACTTATTTAAGGACATTTTTAGAGAATTTTTTGTCGAAATGTACTACTTTAAAAACGTAATATAACAGAGGTTATTTAGGTAAACGTTGTGACATGCTTCCAGGGAAGTTATAGCACATCATCAGGATTAAAATTGCATAGCAACCCATTCGTAGAAATGCCGTCATACACAGCTTTTATATTATGAACTGTTTATTTGTTTGATCCTGAATAGGTCAAATAGAGGTGCTCCGCTAGTGGCGTACGACGGCGTTTCCGAGCATGGGTTTTTATTCAATTTTAAGCTTGAGGATGCGCCCTACCTCTCTTAGAAGTCTGTTGCGATATTTATGCAGTTTCTTGTTACATATGATGTTTTTAAACTTGTACATTTCGACAAAAAAATAGACTAAAAATATCATTTAAGAAAAACAAAAGCTTAGGGAATAAATCTAATTTTCTATTTGAAATCTCCAGATCCAAATCAGGCAAGATCAAGTTTTTGTATAAATGCAATACAAAATTTGTTCCGCTGTGTTATACATAGTTGCTTACGTGGGGAGTATTTGCTGATTTTTTTTNTTTTGGTTTTTTTTTTTTTTTTTGTAAAAATGTGTCTTTGGTTAATCGAATTATAAAAAAGTTTTATAAACAATGTGTAAGGTTTTGATGTAATAATTACAGTTTTAAATACTGTATAACAACATAGTATTAAATATTTATTTATTTAACACAGGTCTACCAGATTTTTTCGAAATGGTACAAAAACACTATCGATATAGGTATAAAACCTAAATATTTTTTTTTCTAATGGCAAAAGAAAATGACTAACTCTTACAAAAACAGTGAACAAAAAGGTGTACAACAAGTAAGAGAAAAAAGTCACTAAAACCTAAATATGGACTTATAATAAATTTTCTTAACAGATATTTAAAGCTATATGCTACTAAAATCAAAGATTAGGAAATTATTCGTTAGCTGGGTACAATACAAAAATCTCTGCTAAATTTTAAATATGTCGCCAAATTTTTAATATGTTAAAAAGAAGGATATTTACAACTAAAATTAGTTAATTTCGTTGAACATACTAGCAACAAAAAAGGGTTTTAAAAGGTTTTTTTTAATCAGTTTCAGTTTTTCAATTATGACGTATTGCTGACGCATTGATCATGAAAATTGGTAACTTTTGGTACTTATATGCTCATAAGCTTACATTTAAATATTACTCGATTAAAAACATTCGCTTCAAAAATATACAAATTGATATAACAGTCGACATGTTTCAATAGCTGAAAAGCAAGCGCCCATTTTCTAGTCTTTCCAGGCGTGAATGAGAAGCAAGTAGGATTTGAAACATCTAGTGCGTGGAAGTGTATTTTATCCTGATTTGCCCCTCTCGACCACTGTGATTTTTCTTGTTCTGTTCTTCATCTTTTTCTCTCTCGATTACCGTGGGTTTTTTAGTTTTGTTTCTCCTCTTTACTTTTTCATTTTTTCGTTGCCAACTTCTATTCTACTTCTTTAATTTTTTCGTTAGCGTTTCATTCTTAAAATCACTTTTGTTCCTTCTTATTCATGTCTGGCAAGTCTTGAAAGTGAGTGTCTTTTTTTTTTTTGAGCTCTTGAAAAACGACGACTGTTATTTCCAATTTGTTTATTTTTGAAGCGAAAGAAGGTTTTTAATGAAGTAATACCTTATAGCTTCAGTTTCTTAGGATTATTTATTTATTGACGTCTAAATAACTGAAAATATTACCCTAATTATAGTAAAAGTGACTCTTTTTATTAGAAAAATATTAGATGTTTCCTAAAACTAAAAATTTTTAAACGGATTTTAAAGAAAAAGGACAACTGATTTTATTTGCTTCAAATCCTAAATTACAGAAATAAATTTGCTGACGTCTTCAGTGACGAACAACGATGTTTTATAACTGAAATTGAGGCCTAAAATTTATCGATTGTTTCTACTATGAGGGAGCTTGCAGTAGATTTTCATGGAAATTATATTCAGAATATTTTATTGAAAGAATGTGACTTTGGCATCTAATATGTTAGGTTAGAGAATAAACAAAATTCATATTTTTATTAATATAATCAAAACTCTTAAATATGTAATATCAATATCATGCATTGTTCAAAATAGAGTTACAAAAATTTTATCATAAGTTGAAAACTTAGTGGAATCACTTATTACTTTATATATGCAAGAATTTGTAAAAATCAACTATAGATTGTAAAGAAAAAATGAAATACTTTTTTTTAAACCAATAGCGTCTTATTTAAAGACTAAGCAGACGAAATTTAAATTCTAAAATCCAATCGCAATGTGATTTGAAGTACGAAAATTTGTTATTTCCGAAAGTTTTTCTCCTGCATGGTAAAAGACGGTAGTTTTGTATTCGATATCAAAAGAATAATACTATGTGAGATAATTGATGAATGTTTAGGAAGTTTAATTTTAGTTATTGTAACTTATTAATTATGAAAAAATGTCATCTCATTAATTATACAAATGTCATTAATTATGAAAAAATGTCATTAATTATCAAAAAATGCTATGGATGCTCCAAAAAGGACGAGAAAAATGAAAGCTGAATAAGCTTGGGCGTCTGTAAATTTTGCGATGTAGTTGCTGCAAATGCTTGTTATTTTCGGAACATTATGTTATATTTTTCATTTATCTACTCCATTTATTAACTACTTTTTAAACTTGTTTTGTATCTCTGTAAGAATAATTGAACCGTCGTACTTTTCTCAACATCCTGTAGTTTCTTATTAAATTGTAAAAATCGTCATTAATAGTTTTTCTTTGAAGTCTAGGGGAGATATCAACTGTCAACTTGCTCGGAACATATTATAAAATATTCTGGTTAAGTGAATGAATGGTTAAGAAAATTTATTAACGGTGCTTACCGTTTTGGTATCCAAAATATCCCTTTTAAATGCAGGTATGTAATGACAGACGGTATATACTAACTAACCACTTATTTGCTCTAAAAATATTAAAAAGTTTTTGAAAATGATATTAAAAAGCATGAAAAACAACCCAATGTAATGTTGCTAAAATTAGTATTATAATTTCAGAGAAAAGTAACTTCGTCTCCTATTTCGAAAGAAAAATACATTACGTAGCAAAAGAGAGAATTTAATTTCAGTTACTTCACATTTTGAATTAAGAAAATCAATTGCTGCTGGCTGGATGATGTAAAGCTCGTGGCTAATAGCTCATACTAAAGCTTAAAATTCATGGATAACTGCTTCTGTACACAAACTGTTTCTTCCTTAATCGTTTTTAAAGAATAAACTATACCAACATTTGTAAGTTTAACCTATGTTGTCTCTTTAAAATACACAGTCAGTTCCAACACTGTCAAACATTACGCTTTCGAGATGAAATACAGGTTCAGGCACGCAAATCTTTGGGATAAGTGGCGTAATGCTTAAGCAAATATGATCCTGGTTAAAAATTCTTAGTTAAAGTTATTTTTGGATAAATATCTTATACTTATGGTGATATATATTTTTTTCCTTAATCATCCTGACTTAATTGATAATTGTAAATTCAAATTTAATTTTAAGAATAAAATAATTAAGTTAACATTAAGTAAACATTTTAGATTGTTTTGTTTAAACGAACTTAATCTTTTTTCTAGGATGTCTAGGCAAAATCGTGCTGCCCCACCGGCATCTACAGCGTCAACAAGTGGGGCTACAGGTGGGGCAGGTACTGGTATACCAGTACCTGTGGTGCAGCAGGCGCAACAGTACCTTGAAGAAAATATCAAAGCTTGGATGGAGCCACCTCCAAATACGCAACAAAGCAGAGAAGAAGTAAGTTGATTAGTCACTGATAATACAAATATTTATTTATTTATTTATTTTGCAATACAGCAAAAAGATGAGATTAAATTTGCAAACTGAACTATGAAGAAATGTTTTCTTAATTTTTTGGTATTCGTTTTGTGTTTTTCGTGTTGTGTTTTGTTTTGTGTTTCGTTTCGGTATTCGTTTTGTATTGCTGATATTAAATATTTTAACTGTCATCACTTTGATTTTTAGCGTGATAATTAGCGTGATAAAAATAAAATAAGTGTTTTTTCGTTACATTCCTAATATTAACTGTTTGAATTGTTATCACTCTGATTTTTAGCGTGATAATGAGCGTGATAAATATAAAATAAGTGTTTTTTTGTTACATTCTTAATATTAAATGTTTTAATTGCTATCACTCTAATTTTTAGTGTGTTAATGAGCGTGATAAAAATTAAATAAATTTTTTTTTGTTACATTCCTACTATTAACTGTTTGAATTGTTATCACTCTGATTTTTAGCGTGATAATGAGCGTGATAAATATAAAATTAGTGTTTTTTTGTTGCATTCCTAATATTAAATGTTTTAATTGTTATCACTCTGATTTTTAGTGCGATAATGAGAGTGAAAAGAAAGAACTGATTAGCCTTATAAGACCGAAGCAATGAGACCAAGCAAAACAAACAATGAACGGGATGAGCTTCATGTGAAATAGAATAATGAGTGTGATAAGAAAGAAATGATTAGCATGATAAAAGAGAAGTAATGAGTGTGGTAGGAAAGAAATGATGAGCGCAATGCAAAAGCAGTGATTATCGTGTTAATAAACTAAAATAAAGATATTTTTTTAAATAATACTCACATGTTAGCTGTTATTATTACCTAGCTCTTTTGCTTTTTGATATTACTTTAGAGCTCTAGCATCAAACATTATCTTTTATCTCAGAGTTAAATCGATTTTTGGCAAAAGAGTTTTTAAATTTTGGGAAATGGTGTGTAGGGAGCCTGGGCTATAAAGTGGGTATGTCTTTAAACTTTTGCAGGCGAGTGACAATTGAACGTAAGATACGAACGAGTGATTGACGAATCTTTTTCAAGGGCATGGCGAGAAGTTAATATGATGTGACTCCGTGCTGCTTTCACAAAAATGTATTATCCAAGGTAGCGATAATGTAGAAAAATGGACCTAATTTTTGACAGTAAATTAAACTATTGAAAGTTTTGCATTTCTTAAAATGGAGACCTTGATTTTAGAATCGCTCGTTTATAAAACCTGTAAATACAGTCTTAAAATCTTACAAAACCTGCCTTAATGTCTTATGAAACCTGCTCTAGTTGAATTTTACATTCGTCATTCTTCTTACAAACTCCGATTCGAGAAGAATTATTCCAGTTTTTATATTTGAAACATTTCTGAATTCCATGCTTTCGAACTTTTTAAATTCAACACCGATAAACTGAACTACACACCTCTTTCTCATTCTATGTAGGGGTAGATATTAAGCGCCCTTTTTTATAGGAAAATTTCACTTAAGCATAAACTCATAAAAATGAACCTCTCCCTTTTATCTTCCTTTTTTTTCTCTTCCCCAAATCAAACTAAATAAAATCGAGTCCTATCTCGAGAGTCAGAGTTTTATCAACAAAAACTTCATTTCTATTTTCAAAAGAGGATATATATAAAAAGACAAAAAAATAAAGACTTTTATCTTAAGACTCTGATGCTGGTCTTCATTTTTAGTGTTCAGATGTCAAATGACACAAAGTCAAATGAAATATTCTGAAAAAATTCAAAGGTTGAAAAAACAACGATTTCAGATATTTATGGGAAACGAAGAAAATAATAAAGATTTATTGCGATTGTTCTATAACCTGAAAGAGTAATAGCTTCTCTACCAAAACAACCTAGAATATATAAAATTCCAGATAGGGTTTCCTATTTTTATTATTGCCGGCCAGTTTTATTATACAGTAAGAAATTTTTGACACTATTTTACTTATTCTATAGATTTATCTCTAAAAATTCTGTTAAAAGAATTTTTTATTAGCTGTAAATCAAAATTCATTGTTTGTGCTTATTAATTTAAAGATAAAATTTTGTACTGTTGTTGAGAGTATATACAAAAAATTTAAAAAGTATTTTTTAAGTATTTCAGAAAAAAAATGTTTCGAGAAAAAAGTGGTTTTGGATCATTGTTGCCGGATAAATTTTGAAGCAAGTAAATCTAAATGCTCCTTATAAATTTTAATGTATCAATTTCGTAGAAAATTTTCAGTAATTAAAAAGTTATATACATTAAATATTAATTTAAATAAAAAAAATATCATAGACTGTCATTTCAAGTATTTAAATTTTTATTAATTTCTTACTTAATGATGCGAACTATTTCCTAATTTGTTCAATTTTTTTCTTTAATCATTCGTTACATCAAAAATCATTCATAGTAATGATTACTACACTGATGCGAAACGCGATATTAAACAAAAAAGAATCTCAAATATGACCGCATCAGAAAAAAGTGCTTTGAAAATTACAGTACTGTATGGTAAAGACGTTTCTGAAACAAATTATAATCCTTGTTATAAAACCAAAATATGCGATAATTAAACCATTCATATGGTTACGGTGTATATTCATATGGTAACTGTTCATCAGAAATTCTGGTTTTCATAATAAAAATTTTTACTTCACATTTTGAAAAAATACAATACTTACCGAACAAATTTTACCGAATAAATTGTTTTTCTAACTTACTCTAAAGTATCATGATAAAAATACCAAATTTTACCACGTATGGAAAATTTTATCATACATTATGAAACAATATTTTATTATGAATTTTACAAAATCATTACCAAAGTACTTCGGTAACAATTACTACGATTTTTGTTGTTCTCAACACTTTAAAACACTGTAAATTATGCCATATTATTGTTTACCATATTGCAGAATTATTAATAATTTTACCATATTTCAGAAACACTGTAAATTTTACCATATTCAGGAAGTTTGGACCATACTTTTTTCTCACTGCATAGATAAAATATTATACATCTATGCAATAAGCCAAAATTCCTTCTTAAAAAATTTTGATCTAATTTTAAAAGCGAAAATAAATAAAGAAAATGAAAGAGTAAAATGAAATCTCCATATTTTTCTTAAAAATTAACGGCGTTTTTGAGACAATCATGTCTGTTTACTATATTTATACAGAATTCAATAGATTAAATTTTTAATTATAGTCCAAAAATTGTACGTAGTATGTAAACACATTTGATTTTAAAATAACTTGATCAAAGAATTTATTTAGAAAAATGAGATCTTTTGAAACAATACTAATAATATCCTTTAATAATTTTTTTCTTCTTTGCAAAAATCTTTTCCTTGCGTTAAATTTATAGCCTCCTCTCTTATTTTGAATAAACACATCTTTAAGTTCACTTTTATTTTCAGCTGGCATCAAATATGCAGTAAACAAACTTATTATGACTGTAATATTGCTCCAATAATTGCACCCCGTTAGGAGTGCTCTTTCTATGGCTAGGAAAGTGTTCTAACTACTACGACATTAAATCGTTATTAAAGAGTTTAGGAATTTAAATGCCTAGTGCTAGTGGTATTAACCTTAAAAAGACAAAAAAAAAGAAAACACTAAATTTTTTCCGTTATTTTTTTTACTCTAATGATTCTTCATTCCTTTAATGAGTAATTGCAAGTGAAATATTTTTATTACCTTCTTAGATGGGCTCAGTTGCGTTGTTTTCGCTAACAAATGAAATGAAGTCTGCAGAATAAAAAATTGCAGGAAAGACATTAAATTCGCAGATTACTTTTTATAGCTTGGTGATCTAGCTCAGAATTTTTTCTAAAATTTAATTTGATATAACTCTATATTTTGCAGTTATATACAAGACTTAAAAAAACAGTAAAGCATTTAGGGCAGTATCTGTTTGTGAGTGCTGTTTTCTTGATTTATAAAACTGTTTCTGTATATTGATTATTGATCAGTAAGTGCCACTGAAGAAGAATTTAATAATTGATTTTGCATTAAACATGCTGTTTTATCAAGTTCAATATATTTAAAGCAATACATTTCTTAAATAATCAAATTGCAACTTGTGAGATAACAATTTGATGAAACAAGAGTATGTTCTGTAATCACTTCTTATAATTTAAATTCCTAAGAAGAAACAGTGAAGCATTTCCGTGACAGTGTGATCCTCAATGATCCTCAATTTTGTGACAAAAAACATGACTGTTGCAATGCTGTCAGTATTTGCAAAATACACTTTTTTCCCTAAGAAAGCTACAAAAAATCTCCTCCTATCGTTTAAATTTTCAGATTTCTGAAAAGTAACGGTAAAGCATTTCCGTGACAGCCTGTTGTAGACCAGGGAGACATGAAGGTTTACACCTTACAATTTCGCTACAAAGATATGACTGAGGTTATGTGGTTAGTATTGTGCAAAAGCTGCTTTTACTTTCCAGGAAAATTGTGCACATCTATATGAAATTGTGTGGGCTTTAGGTAGCTGCTGAGGAATCCACTCCCAGTTCTTCATTAGTCTTTATCTATGTGACTTTGAGTCAAAGGGGCTTTGAAACCATTGCAGGCTTTAAAACCAAAGATAATAGGCTTTGAAACCAAAATTTACGAAATTTTTCCGCGTTTACTCGAATATTATCACAGATTATAAAACCATATATTATTGGTAATTTTACCAGAGTCATTACTAAAGCGCTTCGGTAAAAATTACCCACCTTTTTGGTGTTCCCGTGCAACCAGAAACATGATAAATTTTACCATATTCTGACAATTCTAAATACACTTTGTTCTTATTGCGAATACCATTTAAAAACTATTTTTATATTCAAAAAATAAATAAATAGCCTTTTTCAAGTGAAATTTATCAAACAAAAAAATACTGCTCTATCCAAAAAAATATTTAAACGTATCAAAAATATTGCTCAATCCCAAAAAAATGACTGCTTAGAATTTCTTCCAACAATTCAAACAA